TGGCACAACTACATTCCTCTGAGGGCGAGAGTCGCTGAAAATTCCAAGAAACTTCTACGGGGGTAGTTTCAACACGCAGTTTACGGCTCACAAAGAAAAAATATTACTAAAAAGTGGCAAACAGCGAGAAGAAAATTGCTTAAATGACTCACGTGCTAGTTTGAGTAATTCTTTTTTGTTATTAAATGCAGAAGCATTGTGTCTTGTGACCAAAAATCAACTATCAAACACGGACGAAAAAAATTACGATGATATATTGAAATTTTCTAGTACACTTTCATCATTTCCCTTGGTTGAACATTAACTGGTCACACCTTTTTTATCGTTTTCCGGAAAAAAGAAAAATAAACACTGACATTGTCAAATGGAAATTCGCCATTTTTACGTGTTTTACAACCATCAAATAACAAAAATCATTAATCGTGTCTCACTCCTCATCAAAATATATTTTAAGTACGATTGAATAAGTTTATGAGGAATGAACCATTATAAACCAAAAAAAAGAAGATAAAAAACTGTGATTGATATTGTTAAAATGGAGTAATGATCTTCAATAACAGCTTTCTTTGAAAATATCATCGAAGGTAACAAGTCTGTATCAACTATACATGCTTCTTGCCAATAGCTATATAGCAATAGGTTGACACTTGTGTAGCCTTATACATAAATACGTCCTGTGAATAACATATTCACAGAAATTCCCTTGAAGCAAAAATAACAAAAAAACTATCAAATTTTAACACTTCTATCCAAGTGAATAGCACATTCACACCTGAAAAGAATATATTTACTTTCTAATAACAATATCATTGTTTAAAAACCTCATTCCAAAATAATTCAAATTTAGTGAACACCGAAGTATAAATTGAAATGTTTTGTTTTTGTTTTTAACAATTCTACATCTTATTTCTCTGATGGCATTCATTTTAAATTGTTCAAAACTTAGTAAAATTAAGTAGCAATTACATTTTCGCCGAGGAATAATTATTGCAATTACACCACTTGTTATTCTAATAATTTACTTGTTACTGTTATTTTTATTCTTTCATAAGAAGTTTTATAGAAATACAAGGGCCGCTCTAAAAGTAAAGGTTCCTATTTATTTCAACGAGAACAAATTCAGGGTGCACAATAATGTTTCTTTTTCAGTTACAAAACAATATTTTTCTACATAGGGCCACTGCCTTTACATTCCAAGGGTTGGCACACACACACACACACACACACACACACACACACACACACACACACACACACACACACACTGCTAAATGTGCTCATATCCACTGTTTGGTTTCCATAAAGGTCTAGTAAGCTGTGATGAATGTCAATGATCACAAGTTTTGCGGCAGGGAAGAATTCAACGATAATCCTCTGCTTCGTACGCACTTCCATGTCAGTCATCATTTTGCCAGACTGTTAAGCAATTAAATTACGGGTTATTGGCAGAAAAGTTTAAACTCCACTGGCATACCACCAACATCAACCTCTGACGCCATGATTGGTGGGGGGACATAATAATAAGATAAAAGATATTCTTTTCTTATTTTATTTTAGCTGTTGTTAATTCCTTTCATTGTTTTTTTAATCTTTAATCAAACTTTTTGTTATTCTTTTAATTTTCCCAGGAACTGGCTTGATCAAGCCTGTTTTTGGATTTAATTGGAGAACTTGATAATAGACGAGTAAAAATCCCTGCATAGCCATTGATCAATTTTGAGTTTTTTAAAATCTACAATGTTCTCATAATATCAACATATATAATCAGGTTATATAATATTAGTCTAAATTGAACTCTTCGTGTATTAGGGTGATTTTCTAAGTGCAGCTTAGATGCGGCCGAAAGTTTGGAGCACCTAGTGACCACCATTACGCAGTCACAATTGATCTCGCAAAACAAGTTTGCTAACCATTACACCACATGGAAGTGCCCAACTCTTCATGTATTATGATAATTCAACTTATATAAAAAAATAATGTAAATATTTAAAGGTCATCAGTAGAATTGTTAAATATGTGACAAAATATGCAAACAAGCCTCAAAAGATATAAACACCATTTCATTCGTCCTTTGTTAATTATGATAAACTCGAAATATTAAGAGACACAAATCTGATATAAATACTTTCAGCACATATTACAGCCAATGATTATCAACTTCATCAGTGAATGTGTTGATCACTGACTCGAATTTGATTTTCAAAAAGTTCTATTATGTCCTTAAACAGAAACAAACAGCCGAACATGACTGTTGCATTTAAAAGCAACAATCTGATCGAAATGGAGATGAACAGAAGTAATTGTTTATCTTTAAATACGTAAAGAGAAAGCGGTTCGTTGATTATTGATTTATGCGGCTAACAGCTTTACTGCAAACAAGATACAACTGATTGATAAGCAACGAGACACAATCACCTATATAGTGATGTTCAAATATTTCTTTATTTTTCAATAACACCAGTAGCAAAAGAAGACACAGTTCACCAAGATACAGAGAAATGAGAGTTGGAGATTTCGTACTGGGTGTAAAATTTGAGAGGTTACTTACTGTGTGCCCTTCAAGTCAATCTAAGGAAAATAAAATACTTCCATTAATTGTAGTAGTAGTAGTAGTAGTATAATTGTAATATACTTGACGTTTACATTATATGATTAATTATTCTGAGTGTCATAAATAGAACTTTTGTCAGTGTTCAGAGAAAGTGTTTTTTAACCTGTGTGGTTGTTTTTAGCCAGATGACATCTTCATATTTTTGTATTTAGTTTTTTTGAATGATTTAGAGGAATTTGGATAATTCCTCATTCTTCGAAGAAAACAATCAAGAAGTTTATATTGGTGCATTTTCTACATTTTCTCTACTGAATATTGACAATATGACATTGATTTTTATCGTCGTCACTATCGCTTTTTATATCCTGTTTTATTTTTAAGTTGCAAACTTCGATTCCCCTCATTATTTTTTATATTTTTATAAACGTTATATAGGTTTATAAGTTGAATGGTTCACAATTGTAGTTGATTCGTCCATTAACAGGGGGTTACGGTTACATTTTTACCAGGTAGGAGAAAACAAGAAAATTCAGTCACATCTCCCGAGTAATCAACTGTAGTACTTCCACCTATTGGAAGATTTCATCTCTTGTAACTTTTATTATACACAATATATAACAATGAAACGAAACAATACGGCAGTGTAGTAATACTAATATTATCGATATCTTTTTGTTTGTCTTTCATTAAATTTACTAAAAAAAAGACAGATAGTTCGAAAAGGATTAACGGTTTGATTCATTCTAGATTGAAAAACACGAATTCATTCGATTACACAGACACCTTCAGATAGGGGTTGAAAATGTATGGTCGGATAATTCAAAATTTCGGATAACTGAATGCCTAAATTACCGAAAAAGAATGATAGAAGTGTCATTTTCTGAAATAAATTCAACATTTATATTATCAAACATAATTTTCAAATAATTTGTTTAACATTTTGTCGAGTTAATTTAAAAACGAATATCGAAACGCAACGAGGGATGATTTATTTTATAGTCAGTGAAAGTCTGACGCAGGGCCGCAGGCGTATGTTTTTTATTGGCCACCAGAACATTTCCCGTTAGAATTGAACTTTAGTATAATTCTGTGCATTATTCATCTGGAGAAACGTCTCATCAATATCTTTAAGTAAATTATCCACGGATTAAATATTTCTGATAAAAGATTATGTCAGCGTTCAGAACCCCTCGAATAAATATTTTCTTTAATGAACTTGAAAACATCTAGATTTCGATCTCAGGTTACTTATATGCACATCTTATTTCAGGCTACAGTTCTGTCTTTGGTGCCAAACTATGATCCATTCCAAGAGGTGCCAAATATTAAGAAGCCGTAGTACTGAATATAAGGTTGTTTAATAAAGGTTTTAAAAAACAATTGATTTTGATTGTTTCTTTGGGTATCTTCACGTAAATACGAGAGTAGAATAAATTCACTTTTCTTATTTGCCATTTAATATGCAATTGAAAATTACGCCATCTTGTCTGTATATTGTGCATTCACATTCAGCCCGCCATAGATCAGTTATAACAAATTTAGTATAGAAAAGTGGGAAATTGAACCCGTGATATGTTGCGCCAAAGTATTTTTGTCCAGCACCGAAAGATCCCACAAAAACCACAATGTTAACCCGATTAAAAACGGCTTCAAGTGAATGAATCCTTTAAGTCTTAAAGAAGATATTCTATCATCTTATAGACTGGTGTTGCACAATCACAAACCTAGAGCTTTATCAAATAACTAAAACCATCACAATTTATAAAAACATGGGGAAAGGGTTTAGGATTTATTATTGTAGAGATTAAAATTATAATTTCTTATATTGAATATTGCTCAATTTGCAAAAAAGGTTTTAATGACATCAATTTAACAGAGTGACCTTCATCTCTACAGATATTTTTAAAAATAGAAAACTTGTTGCTTTTCATCATTAAACGAGATGTATCTGTAAATGGAAAAAAATTCAAAGAACATGATGTCTGGAAAATAATAAACATGGTTGCAAGTCATATTTAGGGAAAAACAGTAGAAATATTAACAAAATCAGCAGATGAAAGATTTACAGATGCCAAGGGACCCATGAGAACATGTAAAATAATAATAAAAGGATTAATCATTCAAGTATATGGAACATTGTGATAATGTTATCTGTTTCTATGGTCTATATTTTTGGCTTTATTTATAATTAAAAAATTATATTGCATTTAGTATGCATAAACCTTACACCACAAAAATAAGTTGTTATTATTATTATTGTTAATAAAGAAATATAAACAGAAACACTCATATGTACCAAATATACACGTCTATATACCTATTCACGTATAGTGCAACTCCTGAAATGATTTTATAAAAAAAAATCTGTTTTTTTTTTTCATATAACTCGTGTATAATGTGGCCCTAGCTTCTGAGCAATGCTAGTAGGCCTACCGTAGTTAGATATTGCAGTACTAGGCATCATCCTGATCACCGAAGTTAAGCAACGTCGAGCTTGGTTAGTACCTAGATGGGTGACCACTTGGGAATACCAGGTGCTGTAAGCTTGGGTGTGTGGGTGATGTAATGGATAATGGCTCGGTTCACAAACACGCAAATACCTTTGGGAAGGGTATAAATCCACCTTCCCTTCCGGCTATGGGTTAATCAGTAAGACTTGTATCACTAAATCATTATCTCACCCCACAAAAATTCTTTCCATTTAAAAATATTTTCTGGCTTTAAATAACCTGCAAATAGTTGATAAACCGTAAAAAAACGAATCAATCAAGGGCTTATTTTATATCAAATAAATTGTCTTCATTCTTTCTTTGTAAAAAATCTATCCCAAAATGGTGAGAAAAAAACACTTATCGTAAAATACCTGTGTATATGCATCCGGTCACTAAAAATGCATGATATTTAATCTCTTCAAAAAATTACTTATGTATAGTGTAACCCGCAAATTTTTTTTGCGTTAAAAAAAAAAAGATCATAAAAACACTCACTATACTCGGGTATATTACGGCATATCATTAAAATTTTGCAAACATATGTCGGTTAGTATCAATTTTATTGGGAAAACATTAACTTACATAATAAAATCTGACGCCGTGTACGTAAGCTCTTGCAAAAATGGAATAAGAACAGAATGAGATAGATAGATAGATAGATAGATAGATAGATAGATAGATAGATAGATAGATAGATAGATAGATAGATAGATAGATAGTAAAAACTGAAGTAAATGTGATAAAAATGTTCATGAAAAAAAATAAAGAAGATATATAAGTAATATTCTAAATGTAATCTGTCCATGGGCCGGATATTAAAGTCTTTGTAGTGCCTGAAGTAATTTCAGAAAATTTCAATATCTGAACTTTGAAGTTCAGATTTCCTTCATTGGAAAAAGAGAAAAAGAAAACGAAACGGAGGTGAACCTCTGAATATATTATTAAATCATTCAGATGTTAACTTATATAACTCATCGAATAGAAGCATTATCATAGAAAAGCATTGTTTAACATTTTCACGCGAACAATTCAATTTTTCTCAAGTAAAATTAAACACAAGTTCAGGTCGTAAATAGTTGCTTAACTTTTGTACGTTCATGTTTGGGCTTCTTTGGATATTATCTTTGTATGTATATTGACTTCTAACAGTTATGCGTTATAGAGAGGTAAAGTATTATATATAAGTATTGTATTATACAAAAGTAATGTAATATACGTGGTGTGTTCAAAATCGGTTGAATGCAACATTCTTAATGATACAACAGTAAGAAAATAATATTTTTGTTTTATTTTCAACAAATGTTGCTTCCACAGACAACTCTGAATGTGGCTTGCTTACAAGAGACATCAGAAGCTGAATGTGTTCGTGTCAGGGTATATATGACGGCTTGTCACTCCCTGTTTCTCTGAATGTGCATCGTTAAGTATAAACCGACTTGAAAAGTTCTCAGACCAACCCTCTTCCCAAAATTTGACCAAATAATTAAACCAGATTATTTTTGATCGGGCCAAGAACTTCTTAGTATCTCCTCATATAGAGGATATTTGGCTACGTGCTTATGTTTGTGTATTTGCATGTATCCAAATCCAAATCCAGGGACTTTTCATTCCTGTTGGAGGAAGCCCATTCCTGGTTAACATGAAATAAATGGGCGTTAATAAATAAGGGAGTCGGATATTCTTTAAGGGCCAAAAACGTACGAAATTAATGAACAGTGGGGGAGGGTCTTAATAAAATCGGGAAGTGGGTGGAAAATTTCCTCAACAAAAAAATAAGCATAAAAATAAACTTCCCATTTTCTATTGAGAGAGTATACATATAGAAAGAGTTCTATATCTACTCCTTCCAAAATATGAACTTTTGTGTCTGGTTTCGTGCGCAAAAAATGTATTTAGAAATATTAATTTCAGGGAGATTTTTAAGAATTTCTCTCTCTCTCTCTCTTTCCATCCCTCTCTTTCCCCCCGTCTCCCCCCTCTCTCTCTCTTTGTGCATGTGTGTGTACAAGCCTTGCAAATTATTTGCCAGTGTTGTTAGTCACTGCATGCGCACGTTTTTTATATATATATATATATATATATATATATATATATATATATATATATATATATATGTGTGTGTGTGTGTGTGTGTGTGTGTGTGTGTGTGTGTGTGTGTGTGTGTGAAAAATATATAGAAAATAGGAAAGAACTCGTTAGGTAAATAATCCAAAGTTCTTTAGTATTTTAATATTATTTCAAAAAATAGTGCTCGATACAAAAGTAATTATTTATTTGGAATCATATTTTAAATAAATAATATATATATATATATATATATATATATATATATATAAATTATATTTCTTTGTGTCTAAATAGAAGAAATGGACAGCACTTTTTGCTTGATGAGTTGCGTATTATAAAATAAATAACAATAATTCGAGGCGGGAACTTTTATGTGTGACTTCAGTGATGACAATGACTACTACCCAATATATCGATGTACACGTTAGTGCTCTTTATCGTACTTAACCTATGAACCAGATGAAACTAATATGGATTCCCATAGTAAAAGCTGTAATATACAGCTTTGCTGTATATTAGGGAAATGTAAAATGTAATGGTGGAAACGAATTGTATCACAATTATTTCACAGAGAGACTTCAGTGGCTGAACTAGTTAAGCTATGATTTGCATTAGCATATGTGTCTCGCAATCAATAATTACTTCAAGGCTTTTATAGATTACTCACCCAATGATAACAATAGTCGTCGATTGTAATATAAATTCGAGGGTCTTCCAAAATCTAAAGAAAGTATTAAGAAACAGAAAAATGTCATTAGAAACAAAGAAAAACGTGCTGAAAGGCAATGTGATATCAGCCATTTTACATAGAAATGGATGCCGGAACCTGGGGGAACATATGGTTCTACAGAAGAATGTTGAAAATACCCTAAACGGCGAATGTGAGCAATGAGTTGTTTTCAATATCTAGAGAACATAATAAGGAAAGAGCGCTTGGAAAATTAAACACTCCCAGGACATACTGAAGGCAAGAGAAACAGAGGGAAACGGTGAGTAATCTGCCTAAAGAGCTTATGTAAATAGATGTCAGAATATAAACTGAGAGGATAGTAAGAGGACAAACGTGGCTTAAAGAAACAAAGTATAGGAAGTTGTGGAGAGCCATGATCAATTTGGGGGAAACAGCACATAAAAGTTAATGCTGTGTTAATTTTTCTGAACAACTGAAAACCTGTTAATGTGAGCCCAGCTTGAAATTAAAAATAAATAAAAGATAAAACTCTACTTTAACAATACACAAGTATTTGCTTCCTACCGACGAGTCCTCTTCTATGTGCAGTGTGCCTTCGCAACCTGAGTGATCATGGCTCTCCCCAATTTCTTGTACTTTGTAATTCTTAGTAAAATATGTCTCTCCCCTACTCTCTATTCTGACAACCATTTGCACATGCGCTGTTTCTTCTGTCTCTTTGTTTGCCTTTAATGTATCTTGTGAGTGTCAAATTTTCTAAGCCCTCTTTCTTTATTATTTGCCCTAGAAATTTCAACTGTCTTTTTCTGATTCAGATTATGTGTTCACTTTTTTCCCTTTACTCTAAAATTTCGTCGTTGCTCACATGTTCAGTCCATGTTATTCTAAGCATCATTCTGTAGAACCACATTTCTCTTCTTCATCTATGTTGAGATTGTCCAGCATCACTGCCATATAGATATACTGATATTAAATAACAGTTCAGTGCCCTTTTCCTGTTTTTAATACTTTTGGAAGACATCGTTCTTTATCCGAATGCGTCCTCGGATTTCGGTGTCGCATTTTCCGTCCTCTAATAAAACACTTCCTAGATATTTAAATTGATGTACTTTCTTGATTTTACTATCTCCAATTTGTAATTCGCATGTTGGAGAGTTCCTTTTTGCTGACAACCATACATTCTGTCTTCTTACAATTGATGTTTAGTCCTTTCTTCTCATTTTCCTTTACTACCTTTTGTGACAGTTACTGTAGTTTCCTTTCTATGTCTGCTATCGACACTGTGTCATCTGCATATCTAATATTCTTTATATTGTGGCCTCTAATAATGAATCCTGGTAGGACTTCTAATTCGCTCAGGATTGCTTCACTATAAAGTTTGACTAAGTTTGGTGAGAAGACAAATCCTTGTCTTACGCCCCTTTCTATTTTTGTATATTTACTGAATTCATTTTCTATCCATATGCAGATGGATTGCTGCAAGTATAATTTCTAGATAATAGTAATATCCTTACCAATATAAATCTCTCTTTCCTAGCATTTCCAACAGAAAGTCTTTTGTAACAGATAGGTTCCTGAAAGTAGTTGTTAACGGCCAGTCCTCCGAGGCCCAAACGATCAACGCCAGCGTCCTCCAAGGTTTGCTTCTTGGTCCAACACTCTTTTTACTCTACATAAATTATCTGCTTAAGAGTATATTCCAAATATTTGTGAATACCTATTGTCGATAATACAATGATATATGGGTGAACCTCCAAAACTCGAGTTGACCAGAGCTTAGCAGCTGATCTCTCCTCTGACCTAGCTCTAACAGCTCAGCGGATTTAAAAACTGGCTAGTCACATTCAATGCCTTGAAAACCAAACTAGTGACGTTCCATCATCACTGTGCGATAAAGGGTGTTCGTTCAGGGAACCCCTAGCGTTGTACGCCTATTGTGGGACATATACTCAACCTAGATCCCAAGTGGAACTCGTGCATATGATCCATTACTAAAGTTGCAAGAAAAAATAGTTGGTTCTCTGTACCACTCCAGTAAATACCTGACTCCTTTACCTTTACAAAAGTAGAGGAGTTAGAACGAAAATGACGTACTGCTGCCACATATGAACAGGAGCTTAACCTTTTCAGGTCGAGGGTAAAACGTTATCTTCCCTACATATACCCCAAAACTGTGCCTCTTAACACACTACCTCGAGTGGCTCTTGGGCCTTGTACATGCTGAACATCATTGTAAAAAAAGTAGTTCTTTGCAATTTATTTTATCGAACGCTTTTGCATAACCTATAAAGCATTGGTATACATTCTTCTGTGTGTATATTGGTCTCTCTGATATAATTCTGAGTAATGTAATTTACTTTGTTCTGAAATAGTTTTAAAATTACTAGACCACAAAAGTGTATTGCCTAAAATTTTAAGTTATACGACTAAGAACTAATAAATAACCATGTAAAGTTCTGTGAGAACACTTAACACTCTTCTATGTGATATTCTGGTTAATATTCTCCACATCGTCTTTAAATTTATCACTACGTTTTTATTGGTATATCTTTAAATCTTCTTCAGATCTAGATTTTTTTTAATAGTTTCACTCCAAGAAAGGCGATAATGCCACTAAGACGCAAGGTTTAAAGGGAATTAAAGAAAATGAGAAAACTTTAGTGAGAAGAAGTGAGGAAAGAATAATATAGAAACAAGGTTCGCGTAGACTGAAGATGGCGTTTGGCGCTTCATTTCAATTTTTGAAGAGTGTAGGTGACAGAGTAGAGCGAAATAGGAAGGGAGTTCCACGGGTGAGAAGTGCGAGAAAAGAAACTATTAGAAGTGGTAGTTGCATCTAGCTAGTTCAACAGTAAAAGGGTGAGACCTAGTTGCCAAACTAGTAGTCGGGAAAATAATTCGTCAGAACAGTTGCCATGAAAATATTTATAGAAAAGATAAAGTGAAGCTATGACACGTCGGTTAGAA